TTCTTGTCCAGATATGTTCAGAGTAAACTGTGTTCATACTAGAATTACCACAGTGTGTCACTATGAATAAGAACAAAGTCTCGCCTTATTTGATGGATTCGTACTTCGGTCTGTTGCGGATTCAACAGAGGCCATTCCATCAGCGTGGTTGTAAACGGAAGTGATATTTTTGCATCTAGGAAGATAAGCAACGGGGCAGCAATGGTCAGAGATTAGATAGCTCAAGTACTTGAGCAAAGTGCACGTATACTGGACCAGAACTTCCATATACGTAAATTGCCATCTGCGTGAAAGAAGCACAATGAGGCGGTGGTGAGTTGTTACAAAAGCTCATCTAGAGGTTGAAAAAGTCCACCGTGAAATTGGCCAACATGGCAGGTGTTCACGTAAAGCACTTCGACATTAACTTGTTCTCGAACACCAAAATCAATCAGTCATCACAACCTTTAGTGGCCATGATTAATATATTATCCATTCCTAGAATGGATTAGATCCAATCTGCAATACAGACAGGCCTGGCCTTAATAAGTCAACCTTAGTGTCGCATATTCAAAACTAACCATTGATAAGCAATATACACCGACCCAAGCGACAGTGCAGACTAGCTACAGTTAATTAACCAACATGACGAATTTTCCTAATAATCTTTGAAATTCAAAACTTGGATTCGAAACATAAATTATGGAGATATTACCGGTAAAGAAATAGATCAAACTTTACTAGGTCGAGAAGGTTTAGGTTTGGGTTTTATAGCACAGGATTAAACTATTTTAGAACCATTTAAATTTAAACACAAACTATCATAGAAGAGAGAAGGTAAAAGATAAACGACTTTCTACGGACTCGTTTAATGATTGACTTAAAATTATAAAGTTCTAAAATCAAATTAAAGTGCTTTTTAACATAATTTATATATTTCCAAAAAAGTTGGCAATACTAACTAACCACAAGCTTGTTTATATTTTCTGTGCGTGTTTTCTTTTTTTTCTGTTATGATTTACTTGTGTTTGGTTGTTGAATTTTGTTTCTTTCTTCGTTTTGTTTCCTTTTTTCTAATGCCGCCTTTACACTTTTTATACTTTAAATCATTATCACCTTCAACATCCCCCAAACGAACAACAAACAACACTTGGTCAGACACACACACCACAATTTCCTTTTCTAGTTGTCTTGCTATTTCAATACCCCTCCTCCTACCATTTTTCTGCTTTTTCTTTATTTGTTTATTTATTACGAAAACGCAGAGAAAAAGTGGTTGTTAATTTTTTACCTTTATTTTGTTACATTCTTTGCTATGAGTTGTTGTTGTTGTTTTATTTTTATTATTATTAGTTGTATTAGTATAGATTCAAACTTTTCCGACGCACTATTTGAAACAAAACATACTTTAGGTGTCATGTGTAAGTGTAGCCGTGTGAGTACAAATGTTTCTGTATGCGTATTCGTTTGGTTTTTCCTATACATATACGAACTTTTGTTTTCTCTTTTATAATGAAAATATTTTATTTACAGTTATTTATCAAGTGTTGCTAGCCGGTATTTTTATATTATCATTCACAACATGTGTCCCTGTCAGTTAAGTTTATAATAGCTGCCCCCAACTCCTCTCAACATTTCTTCCTCTCATTCTCACCACCACGAGCAAGTTTTTGTGTGTTTAGTTGGCAAAAAAAAGGTTTGATTCAATTTAGTTTTTAAGGGATGCTGCTGCCTTAAAGCAGGCAACATTTTATACTAGAAACAATTTTTATAGAAAGGATTTTTGAGAGTGTGTGTGTGTGTGTGAGGGAATCCCCCCATAAAAATCTGTCTAGCATTAAAACCATTAAATCTGCACTGTGAGAAATAGAATTGTGTTTTTTTTGGGGGGGAATAATATATTTGATTTGTTATTTAATTTATTGAGAAGTTTTTTTCTTGTTTTTACGTGAATTGGTAAAATCTAGTAGAGATTCCTTTTTAAACGTGTAATTTTATACTTCAAAGGTAGATTTTATTTGTTTATTATTAAGAGTCATCTCAAGGTTAAGAAGTTTAACTTAAGTATGAATTACATTTATCCTTAAAAAGCGAAATATGTTGGCCTTTAAATAATATAAATGAAAAAAAACTGTTAATGGGAAACGGAAGTGCGTTGTTATAGCAAAAGTAAATTTCTACGCAGTTAAAATTCTTCAGAATATTCTAGTAATTCAAATATATTCTAAAAAGGCAGTAATTAAATATTATATAAGCTTTAAGTGTATTATATTCGGCTATACCAAATATAATCTTCATCTTCATAAAGTATATATGTTTGTCAGTCTGTCCATCCGTCTGTCTGTCTGTCTGTCCGTATGTATTTTTGTTAAAATCAATTTTCTGTAGACCACAGATATCTTCGGCATCCAAGTCTTCAATAATTCTATCAGACATGCTTTCGAGAAAATTGCTAATTTAAAATAAGCAAATTCGGTCCATAAATAATGGAAATGTAAGCAAAATTCCGAGACAGGCTCTGAACATTTCATCAAAATTAGCATTTTTGTACAATCTTTAACAAAAAGAAAAAACAACAACATACAGCTTCATATGGTAAATCTTGTTCTTGTACTTAGTAGGGTTCTACAGTTGAAACGAAAAGTCGTCTTTTCGACTTTTTGCATTTAGTTAAAAGTCGACTTTTTGCATTTTATGAAAAGTCGATTTTTCATTTAATTAAAAGTCGACTTTTAGTATTTTATAAATGGTCGACTTTTCCGAATTTTTTCCAATTTTTTTGACTTTTTTAGAATTTTCGACTTTTTCCGACTTTTTTAGACTTTTCGACTTTTCCCGACTTTTTCCGATTTTTTCGACTTTCTGACTATTTTCGACTATTTTTCGAGTTTTTCCGACAACTTTCGAGTTTTTTACTTTTTTCCACTTTTTAAAATTTTTAACTATTTTTGACTTTTTTCTACTATTTTCGAGTTTCGACTTTTATTTACAAAGTCGACTTTTCGACTTTTATTTACAAAATCGACTTTTCGACTTTTATTTACAAAGTCGACTTTTCGACTTTTTTCATAGACGATTGTCGAGTTATCGACTTTTTTGGAACAAAAATAGTCGACTTCGACTTTTTGGAACAAAATAGTCGACTTCGACTTTTTGGAACAAAATAGTCGACTTCGACTTTTTTCGACAAAAAGTCGATTGTTCGATTATTCGAAAGTCGACTTATAGAATCCTAGTACTTAGTTTACTTCTTTAAAAAAAAAAAAAAAAAAAAAAACAAAACAGAACAGAACAGAACAAGAACAACACGTTACGTATGAAGCTGAGATGGAAAATTAAGCACGAGGGGGAAAAAGTAAAAAAAAAAATAATTATAAAATTTGAAAAATTAAATATGCTAATGGGTGTTATTTATAACTCTGGTGCGAAGGACCATTTTTCGGTACTTTTTTGTTCTTTAACTGGTACTTTTTGAATTTCGAAACATGAAATAAGCATAAAGAGCCCGGAGTAAATAAGAACCTATAAAAGGGGACGGAGTAAATAAGAACCTATAAAAGGGGACTTTTTTGGTACTTATTCATTCATTAAAAGGCACTTTTTTCATTTTCTATAATATTGAACCTAGAAACATAAAATTAAACATTCAGAGTTCGAAACGATAGAAAATCTGAAGGAAAGGATTTTTGTCACTTTTTCGTTCTTTAGCTGGTCTTTTTTGATTATTTCTGAAATATTGAATCTAGAAACATATAATCAGACATATTTGGTAAAAAACAACAAAAATGTCCATTTTGAAAAAATAGGGGAAAATTAAGTGGCAAATATTGAAAGAATTCGTATTCTTGAGTTAAAAAATATAATAATAAAGCCCTTAAAGGAAATTGTATAAGCTTTCATCTGAGCAAAAAAGGGGGTTTTTAGAAAAGAACAAGTAAGAAAGTATAGTCGGGCGTGGCCAACCATATGATACCCTACACCAGTTATGAATATTAAGTGTAATATATTTTTCATAATAAAGCATTTATCTGGAATATTGATTGATTCCGATTTATTTAAGCAATTTATTGACGAAAAAATAATTTTCTGAAAGAGGCTTTATATGGGGGATAGGAGCAAATGTGAACCAATCACGATAAAATGGGCTATATAGATTTATGTTTATATAATATTTGTCTGTGATTAATAAGTGAATTGCGGAAGTCATTTTCCGAAGGGGGGCTTTGTATGGGGACTAGGGTCAAATGAAGTCCGATCATTTCGAAATTCGGCAAGATCATCAAGGCTTGTATAAAACATAGTTGTGCTAATACATTATATTACACAGAATTATGAGATCAAAAGCCCTTTTCGGGGGGTTCAGTTGTATGGGGGCCAGGTGAAATAATGGACCGATTTTAACCATTTTTAATAGGCTTCGTCCTTTTCAAAAGAAACGTGTATGCCAAATTTCATCAAATTATCTGGAAAATTGCGACCTGTACTTTGATAACAACGTTTACATGGACACACGGACGGTCGGACGGACGGACGGACATCGTTAAATCGACTCAGAAAGTGATTCTGAGTCGATCGGTATACTTAAAGGTGGGTATAGTGCAAATATTTTAGTGCGTTACAAACATCAGCACAAACGCATAATATCCTTCCCACTATAGTGGTGTAGGGTATAAAAATAAAAAATAAATTATTAAAAAAAAAACATTTTTTTTTTTTTTTTTGGAAACAATGAACATTTTTGCTAGGACCAATAGGTGAAAAGTTACACTTATTTGAATAAAACACTGTATGACCAAAATTTTCAAAAACCCTGTATGACAATTTCTTGGATGAACATTTGACCAAATTTTCATCCAAGAAATTGTCACGAAATTACCTATATGTATACTTTATAGGATCGAAAAAATATTGTGGAAATTATTCAAAATTATTTGCTATTCTATAAATTGTATGTAACTCTATTACTATTCTACTGTAAATATGTCAATAGAAAATAATTTATTTAAATTAAATTAACTCACTGGAAATAGTTTGAGGCTGAAAGAAACGATCACACCAGACGCATAATAGCGGCACTAAAATAATAAATTTATAGAATTAGTTAAAATATAGATTTTTTCAAAGTATTGAATGAAGCGAATGGTTTTGAATGTGATTTACCGATTTTATAATGAAGTCACTATTTATAGAAAAATGCAATACTAAAGAAATGATTTATACTAATTATAAAATTTCATAAATTTTTCAATCACGAAATGATTGATCAGATAGTTTCATATAAGTAATAGATATACATAAGTAAAAGTATTTTATAAAATTCATTAAAATCAAATTTTCTTAGTCACTACATGAAAGTTTTTGTATTTTCTCAAAAAATATTAAACATAATTTTTAAATTATTATTGAAAATCAGCAAAATTTTTCCATATATAGTCTCTCAACTTAAAAAACTTTAATATTGCAAAAAAAAACCTTTTGCTACACACTTCCTTTTCATAACAATGCCAAAAATAGCTTTAAGGATAACAACTAAAAGTAATGAAACTGTAACAATAGCAACTAACAAGTATGTGAAAATTTGCAACATACAGTCAGGAAACTTTTCGTTATTTTTTTTCCCCGCTGCCATTTTACTTTAACCATTCAAAGTTGACACACGTTCATCAGTGTTATAATTACTCAACATTACCCAAGTGATAAGTAATGAATGATGAAGTATTTGTGTTAAAATGTAAAATATATAGAGAAAAAGAAGAAAATAAAATATGTTGTAACAAATGAAGTGGCAAGAGTGTAGTAGCATGATGGCGCATTCATTTGCTATTAACCAAAAGGGAATTCAGATGATGTTTTCGCTTATTTGTTGGACAATGTAACCGCAATAATAAAATAAGACTTGCAACACATTTGTTTAACGTCAACGATATGGTGAACAAACACCAAAAACAAAGCAAAAAATCAACAACAACACAAATACTAATAATATATTGAAAAAAGAAAACAAAACCAACAAAAATACAATGGAAATGTGAATGAAATGTCTGAACAGTTTTTATCCTGAAGGAAGTTTGCAAAAAACCGAAAACAAAACTTTGGGGTGATAAATTCAATTCAACATTTCATACAAATGAAATGAAAAAAAAAACAAAACTAAAAGTAAATGTCCACAAGGCTGGTCAGTGAAAATGTAACAAGGGGGTGATTTATATATATTTTTTGTTTTATTTGGTTTATATGATTTACAGGAACGTATTCTAAAGACTTAAATCTAAACCGAAAGGTATAAAGCATTAACTATAGCTCCCCCTTAACTACGCCTTTTTTCGTTAGTAGTTGTAAAAAGGATAATAATAGACCAATGATATGTACATATGTATGTATGTATTATACTCGGACTACAGTCTACATGTGTTGCTTGTAAACTACACCACAAAATTGTTTGTTTAATTCGTAAAACTTTTGGAAAAAATTGCTTCAATAAATAAATTTAACGATTACAACAAATCGAATTAAAAAAAGTTTCTCACCAGAAAAACGACAAAAATACTTATAAAGGAGCATTATATTATTAGGAAAGGGTGCTGAAATGTTCCCAAATTTTTACAAGATTTTAAGCTGGTAATTTATAAATAAATCAGGTTTTATTTAAGTTTGTAGCATTACATACATTATGGAAATATAACCCTACACCAGTTACTTAATTTATTTTTCGAAAAAGTATTAATTTTGGGGGCTAGAATCAAATTCCAAATGTTATGATTTCAATATTGTCCATTTTTGTCTTTAATATTTATATTGATAAAAAAAGTGGTCCCAACAACATTTAATGACTCTAACTATTATATTTTCGTATAAATACTAATTTAGTATTTTCTTTGTAAGAGAGTTGCCGCGTCCATTATAGGTAGTCGCCCATTTAAACCAAAAATGTGCATTATCCATACAAAATTTGAGGAATTTTTCAGTTTCTAAGATATACAACTTTTAATGGTTATTTAGTGGGCATGGCACCACGTCCACTTGCAATTTAAAAAAAGTGGATTAAAGATTATATTTTAAAAACTTGGATCAATTTTTGAATTCGATTAGAAAATGGAAATGATTATAAAATATTACGCTCTTCATAATAATGATTGTAAAATGTTTATTTAAACAAATAGATCTCAATTTAAAAAGCTTAAAATCAATTTTGACAGATCACAGAATAACATACTCTTCATAAAAGGTTTTTCATATATGGGCAATTTCATGTCAAGTGACCCAACTCAAAAAATCGGTTTTGATGAAATTTACACTAAGCTTAGTACTATAGGATAGTACTATAGATAGAAATTTTCAGCTCTATCGGTCAAGAACTGTCAGACTTAATGGGGGTCAAAGTTGGAAATTTGGGTCATACAGGGTTTTATTCAAATGAGTGTAACTTTCACTATTTAAAGAAAAGTAATAGTAGAAAAGAAGGAAGTGGTTATGTTACTCTCAAATAGATTGATCGATTTTTAATTATCATGAAAACTAGAAGTGATTAAGAAACTACTTAAGGATGACTTTTAGAGGTCTTCTTTCCTAATGGATATTTATTTAAAAAACAACAGTTTTTCCTATACCTTCAAAAGATTTTCGTACAAAATTAAAGTTTTGATAAAGAATCAACTCATTTCATTTCATTAAGGGAACTACTGCCGACTAAAGCTCATTTGATTCAAAAAATCCAATATCTGATTGAAAATGGTGGGAAGTGATTAAGTATTAATTACTACTATTCCACATTTTATAAAGACAATTCTTCTATTATCTTATGACAATCATAAAAATACATACATACAACATACAACAGAGTTTAAACAATGCCTACAAAATTGTTTGGTCGTGACAAAGAAAAAAGAAATTGCCATTTATAAAGATTTCATTGTTTCTAACTCAATTTTATGCACACATTAAGTACTCGTGATGTACGAGTAGTTCTTATGTTGCCCCACCATTCGAAATGTTTCCAAACTTTTTGTTGGCCTACAGCTGCAAACAAAAACTTAAAGCTAAAACTATCATGTGGTCTTATTACGAAATAAATGTGTGACTAAATGTTGAGACTGACTTAACTCGTTCGTTAGATTAAATTTAATCAGAACGTACGTGCTTCACACGTACTTTCAACATGTCCGTCGTCCGTCATTCACAAACACACAACATTTAAGTCAGGCAGGATGGCAGTCAGTTGCCTGTTTATTTTGAAAGTGTTAAATACGTAGAAAACTGACTATAAAACTTTCGTTAGTAAGAAATGTGACTTTTGCCAGAATTACATTAAATCTAATGAAATTGATGCAATTGTTGGTTATTTGAAGACCTATATAATCGAGAGAATGAATTTATTAACTAATTGAATTTGAGATTTTTTTTATCTTCACTAACTTTGTAAATTTTCATTAGAAAATTGATTTCATAAGAAAAACTTAAAATCGGCTGTAGTTACTTATATTGAGAAAATCTGTAACCAATTAAATTTCGATTTTGATTGAAAAAAAACTAAAATCGGCAACTTTATGAATACATGGGAATAAAATGGACAGCCTAGCTACAGTGGGCGTGGCTAGGGACCTCTTTTTTTGGGAGGCACAATATAAATGTTTAGGACAAAAAAATGGGCGGTCCAGCAATAGAGGGCGTGGCACCTCCCATATGAATTAAATACTAAAATTCGTTTATCTGGGAAACTATTGGAGTTAGAATCTTAAAAGGCCTTTAATATACATTGAAAATCTAGGAGAAAAATGAGCGAACTTTCATAAGGGGGTCTTAGACCCTCCCATATGAATTAAGTGCAAAAATTCGTTCGTACTGAACAAGTACAAAAAATCTCCGCCATTTATTCCCACATAAAGCCTCTCTAAGAAAATTAGATTTTCATCAATAAATTGCTTCAATTTATCAGAATTAAGGTAAAATTCAAGATAAATAGGTTCTATACGAAAAAATATATTTTAGATCAATTTCAATTTTATTTCGGATCAATTTCGATTTTAATATTAAAAAATAATTAAAATGGTCTGTAGTTTCTTAAAAATATTTTGTAAATGAACTCAAAATTTATAAACAAAGTGGACTATAAAAATTGCAACGATTGAATAAACGAAGGATAATGATACTATATGTTAAAAATAACACCCCTTTTGATAGGCAATGTACTGAATTTTATATACACAAACGTAGGTATATATTTACATTTTCATATTTGCCATCGATTCATAAAGATCCCTGCAGTTCGGAGTGACAATCCTAAACTTCTTTACGTAAAATATTTGACCCCATAAAGTTTACACAAAATTTACGTCGATTTTAATTGAATAATTGAATTTGCAAACTAGACTCTCTAGATTGCTTAGTTACTCCATTATAAAGCCTACTGACCCAAAATATATAAATTTAAAACAAAAAAAAAAAAAGAAGATCTTACACCGATACATTAACTCTTTGTGAAATTACTGAAATATGTATAAACGATAATTTGGTACATGGTGTTTATATGTATAAGTATATTTCAATATTTATGTGAATGAGTGGGTGTCAAAGATGGATATGCCAAAGGCAGTTTAATTTTTCCACAAGTATTTGTTTTATACAACTTATACAAAGTCATATGTATGTATGTATTCAGTACTAATATAAATAGCAAAATAGTACCATTATATTGTAATACAAACATCGATTTATTTTACTCTTTTTACTTTATTTTACTCACACATGTTTAAGGATGTTAAAGCAACATAGATATTCTGCTATAGACATACATGAGAATTTATAAGTATTAACTTAATAGTTAGCAACCACTTAAAAACTAATCAGAAAACAATCGATAACGCTTGTATTTACTATCTTATTTTCACTTTTCTTTTTGTAAAAATAATATAAAATATGTATTGCTTTATCTCAGTGTTTATTTTATATCTATTAGAGATTACAATGAACTAAATAATGAAGCTTTAAACAGATTTGTATGAGGCAGAAAGGATTTAAAACCACAAACTTTGCAAAAAAATGTCAAAATTAAAAAAAAAAAAAAAAAAAAAAAAAAACT